TCAGTATAGTTGGATGGCATCATGAGGCTCAGAGGTAACAGGTGCGTCATCGTTTCTTTTTATGGTGATTCTTGGCAATTGTAGCCTCTGGTTACCGCTACATGCACTGCTTTATTTTTTAAATTATTTAAGAAATCAGGTACTATATTGGAAAAATATTATACATATTTATAACTAAGAAAAGTTTAATTATTTTTGTAATTTTATTTATTAATAATTATATTTTATAGAATCGCTGGCAAAAAATTTTATATACTTCAATACAACGAAAAAAAATAACACAATTTGAAAATTTAAACTTTATTATTGATAAAAATCCTTGGTATAGTTTACAATTATATAATACAGATTATATAATTTCACAACTAGAATCTGATAAACTAATACCACAGGAAACTATACAAGGTTTTAAATATCTTCAAAATTGTGTAAAAGACTTCTTATCTGATATTGAAAAAGATTTATTAAATTCAAATATTTAGATTGAAGTTTTTAAAAATGCTAAACTTAAACCTGAAATAATTATTAGAGCTTCACCTTCATATTATAAAGTATCATATTATAGTAATGTGCAATAAAAATAGATAATGATGAGCAACAGCTTTATATAAATGATGATGGATATTGTTATGCAAAAGTAAGTATATAGCTTAATAAAAATAATACTTTAAAATATTTTAAATTATTTTAAATACTGAATAATTTTTTAATTTATTTATAGATATTGCTAATTATAAAACTTATATTTTATAATAGCCAAAATATATTACAAAAATATGAACTTGCATTAGTAAATTGGTATTATTTTAAATATCTGAATATATTAGAAAAGCTTTATATTTATAATTGTCCGTATATAAAACTTACCAATCATTAAACAAATTTATTTTTTAAAATTTGTTTATATTGCAACTAATAGTAATATATCGTTAGCTTAACTAATATTAATCTAATTATTCAATATTATTTTAACTTTTTAGAATTTTATTGTATTTTATAATAAGAATTTCACTATAGTATCTTCCTAACTAGATTTTATAGAATTCTAATACAAGAACTTTTAATCATAATTTCATAATTTTTGCTTTTAATTTTTTTTATTCTTAATCTAACTAGCAACTTTTGTGTTTAAAGATGCAAAAACCCAACTACTACAACTATAGGTATGTAAATTTTAAATTAAAAAACCTATAATAAATACTAATTTTAACTTTAGTTCGTTCAACTTCTCTAATTCTAATTACTAACATAATTAATTCTAAGATAATTTTTAATATAGCTCTATTTTCTTTAAATCGCCAATTCTAAATCATTTATTATTTTTACAATATTAATTATAAATTAATCTATTCTTTTTAATTTGTACTCTAGACTAATTTATTTTTAACCTGTTTAATTATTAAATATAACTAATTTATATTCTTCAACTTATCTAATTTTAATACTCAAAATTAATATTTTAAATTTTAAATAGTATATATTTAACATGCTAGTTGATCTTCTTTTTGAACATATATGTCTTTGAAGTTATATTATAGTGTCAAGCATGTTGAATATATGCTATTTGAAACTTAAAATGTTTTTTTTTTTTTTTTTAGTTTTTGAGCAGTTGTCTTTTTTATTTTTTGCTATTTTGTCTTTTATCATTTTGCATTTTGGTATTTCTATCTTATTGCAATAATAAAATTCAAATCTATATTTAATAGCCATATATATTGATACATCCATACTAATTATTTTGACAATGTCTGTTACAAATACTTATTTATTTTTCATATGTGATACCGAATACTGCATATATATAATCTACCAAATTTCAAAGTAAGTAACCCGAAGTTGTTTAAGTTAACTAAATTTTAATTCAATAAACTCAAAAAAATGAATATAAACTACTCTAAGCTACACCAAGTTTATATGACCAGAATTTGACTCAATTTGAACCACTCCAGGTTCATATGAACCAGTATTTGGTTCAATTTAAACCACTTCAGGTTTATATAAACCAGAATTTGGTTCAAGTTGAACCACTCTGGGTTAACATGAACCAGAATTTGGTTTAAAGTTGAACTACTCCGGGTTCATATGATAGTTCAGTTCAAAGTTGAACCACTCCGGGTTTACATGAACAAGAATTTGGTTCAAGTTGGGCATGTATTATCTGATTGGTTGGCACCAAAGTGTTAGATCATGTGGCCTGAGTTTAGAGACAAAGCAGTTACATGTTATTATAAATAAAATTTTTTTAAAGCTTTAAATCAAAATAACTTGCCAACTACTTGACAAATTTGACAAATTTTTTTTATTTGACTTCTATGAATCCATATAATTCAAATAAAAAAATTTTTGTCAAATTTAGCCAGATGGTTATGAAGATATCTTCACTCAAAGTTAGAGAAAGTCTATCAAAATAGAAGCTACGCCAGTTTTTTTAAAAAATTTGAGCAAAGATATCTCCAAAACCACCTGACCAAACTTGATAAATATTTATTTTATTTGAATTTTATGCATCCATAGAATTCAGATAAAAAAATATTATCGAATTTGCTCAGGTAGATGTGGAGATATTTTCATTTAAAGTTAGAGAAAAATCAAAACGCCTATCAAATAAAAGCTATGCCAATTTTTTTAAAGATTTAAGCGAAGATATCTCCACAACCACCTAACCAAATTTGATAAAGTTTTTTAAATTTGAATTCTATGAATTAAAAAGAATTTAAATAAAAAATTTTAACGATATAATTGGTGGTTGTAGAGAACAATTTTTTAAAAAACTGCTACTTTTATTTAATTGGCATTTTGATTTTTTTCTAACTCTGAGCGATGTATCTCCACATATACCTAAGCAAATTCGATAAAAATTTTTTTATCTGAATTCCATGAATGCATAGAATTCAAATAAAAAAAAATTTATCAGGTTTGACCAGGTGGTTGTTGAGATATCTGCACTCAATTTTTTAAAAAACTGGTATAGCTTCTATTTTGAAAGAGTTTTGATTTTTTCTCTAACTTTGAGCAAAGATATCTCCATAACCATTTGGAAAAATTTGATAAAAATTTTTTTATTTGAATTATATAAGTCAAATAAAAAAAAAATTTGTCAAATTTGTCAAGTAGTTGCCAAGATATTTTGATTTAAAGCTTTAAAAAAAATTATTTATAATATCATGTGACTGCTCTGTCCCTAAGCTTGTCCGTAGAATTTCTGGTTTCCACCCTCGATTTAAGTTACACTGGACATGTGATCTCATAACATGTCAAACCCGGGTTAAATAGAAAATTTCCTCCTAAATATAATGAAATTTAATAATAAAAAAAAAATTGTATTTTAAATTAATATATAATTAATATTAAATTTTAATATAAATTTAATGTTACAAATTTTGTATTAAAAATATATTGAAATTTAATAATAAAATAATATTGTATTTTAAATCAATATAAAATCAATAATAAATTTTAATATAAAATTAATGTTACAAATTCTTATATTAAAAATATATTGAAATTTAATAATAAAATAATATTGTATTTTAAATCAATATAAAATTAATATT